GGCATCTCACAGATAAATTGGGAAACTTTAGAAATAAAGGTAAAGCTCAGGTAAAAAGCTTTTGAAATAGCCATTAGATAAAATACACTAGTCAAAATATTAATAGCAAAATAATACTAAAGATTTAATGCTATTGCCATTTCAATAATATTCATTGATAATACTCCTGGATGGGATAGCAATATTGGGGTTGTAGTACTAAACTATGAGGTATCTTCCTTTAAAATTTTTTTTTCAAACTTAAAATTACTTTAGATGTCATATCAAAGTCATCTCATGCCTCTCCTGGGTTCTAGATTACTTCTGATGACCTTAAGTTGTCTATGATCTTTCTAATCAAGAAATGCATAGACAAAACTCCCAAATGAAAAAAAAGCAAAAACCAACTCTTGCTTTCTTTTACTTATTTCCCTGTTTCTCTTTTTCTTATCCTTCTTTCCTTCTTGTCTTCCCTTCCTTCTTTCCATCCTTCCTTTCTTCTTTCTCACTCTCTTTCTCTTTCTTCCTCCTTCTTTTTCTCCTCTACCTCCTTCTCCCTTTCTTTCCATCTTTCTCTCTCTGTAGCCCATGATAGTCATGAACTTGCAGTCTTCCTGGCTCAGCTTTCCAAATGCTAGAATCACAATAAGCTACTGCATTTGATTGTTGAAGACCGTTTTAATTTACAATAGAATATGTTAATCTATTAATATGTTTTTTAACTGAGAATTCATTAGACACATTTTCCTCTTGTTATCTGATAAATACCAAACATTTAATTTAATGTTGTAGACATTGTGTGAGTGTCTATCCCTACTACAGGATAGTAGTACATAATAGTGGTGTAAGAAATTTATGAACAGCTAAAGCTACAGTAAAGGTCAACTATTCTCTATCTCTCTTTAACAGCAAAACCTTGCCTTCTGTAAGCTAGTATTGCATATTTAGTAATATTCATCTGAAGCATTGTTTGTGTTATTTAAAACACAGTCTGAAAACTGGGAAAAATATTGTGAAGAAGGTGTAAAAAATTAGATTGTAGTTGCAAAACCTTAATAAATAGAACTTGACATGGTGAAGCATGACTATCATCCTAATACTCAAGCAACTGAGGCAGGAAGATCCTGACTATAAGGCCAGCACTGGCTATTCAGTGAGTCTGTATAATAAACAATTCAAGCAAACTGGAACAAAACAAAACATGTTCCCCTTTGTTACTGGGATTTAGGTTCAAGACTTTGCAACTGTTAGGTAAGAACTTAATTACTTGAGCCAGATATCCATTCCCTTTTGCTTTGTTTTTCAGATAGGATGTGCCACTGGATTTGCCAGGATTGATCCAGATTTGCATCTTCCTACCTCCAACTCCCACATAACTGGGCAAACAAACATCCAAAAGTTTAATAAACACATGCTACAGGAGACAGAATAAATGTAAATTTCATTTAGCAGATCATATCTATAGGAACACAAGTCGTTAATTAGTAAGAATGAGTATTGTTTAGAAAAACAATAATTTAACATAATTGGATTGTGATTTTATTGGTGCTTATGATACCCATGTAGAGGTGGCAAATCATTCCTGAAACTATAGTGTCTGTAATTCATCATCAGATGCTAGCCTAGGGGGAGAGAGACAGACTGTGTGAATAGAATGAGGGAAGGCTGAGAAAAACTGTGATTATAGCGAAAAAGAGACTGAAGCCATTCTTGAGAGGCCCTGACAAAGAGAGAGAGAGAGACAGAGGGACAGAGACAGAGAAAGAGACAGAGAGACTACAGCAGTATCATTGGTAGTATGCTGAGAAGAAGGGGATATTATACGTACTGAGGAGGCATGCCCATAGAAGAAACCAAGCCTCAAAAGCAAGGCTAAAGGAGAAAGAAAGAGAAGAGATTAGTAATGTTTCTGTAAACAATGTTGAATTTGATCTTTCAAATGGTCTAAACTAACAATTGAGATTCCTTTGCATTGCCTTTTAGCTACCAAACTGATTTTCCAGAATGTATGATTCCAGTCATGCACACATCCCACTTTGTTTAGAAAGATTAAGCCACAATGTTTTAGCTAGGAAATAATCATGATTAGTGAAAACACTCTGTGAACAACCTGAGAATCATAGTGAGATTATTTTTATGAGAATACATGTGTGAGGGATGAGATTCCAAGTGTGGAACATTTCCAGGACGTCTTCTTTATGTGGACTCTAGGAAATCTGGGATTCTCCTAAATGAAAGAACCAACAGTAAGTATGTATGTTAAAATTGTTACAAGTTAAAAGTTAATTCATTTGTCAGGCTTTTCCTAAGGAATGCTTGCTCATCAATTGTTTTATTGTTACAGAAACTAATCTATGCAAAATACACATTTTTATTAAGGTTTATAAGCAAAAATTCCCTAGCCTTTTAGTTTTCATTGTAAAATATAACAATTCCCCTGTGAACTCTCAGGCATTTTTTTCTTTTAGAAAATAAAAACATGGAAGAATATTTATTTTGAACTACTATCAACTAGAAGTAGGTTTACTAATTTTGAAAAACAATACTAAAGGGTTTCCTTTCTAACTACAAATGTTTAGAAGGGCATTTATGTATAATTTATAAGTATAGAATCAATTTATATCTTATGCATATATCTAATGTATTATGTTATATTAATATATTTATATTTAATAAGCAAAGAGTAGCAATTAATTTTAGGGTAACAAAGCAATGAAAATCCATATATGAAATTATTTTCTTGCATTCTGGGGATTAAACTCAAAGTCTTGCACATGCTAAGCTGCTGTTCAACCACTGATCTATAATACATCCACGGCCCGATAAAGATGTATGTAAAATAAGTGTGTCTTCAAAAACATCCATAAACTTGCAAGGCAATGCAAAGCAACTCAATTCTTAGTTTAGACCATTTGAAAGATCAAATTCAACATTGTTTACAGAAACATTACTAGTATCTTATTTTCTCTTTCTTTCTCCTTTAGCCCTGCCTTTGAGGCTTGGTTTCTTCTATGGACAGTGCCTCCTCAGAGCCACTTCTCTGAAACATGTTTGAATGCAAAATCATGTCAAGATCACTGAATGTTTTGATGAACTTGTCTTCCTTTACAAATGAGCTTTGCAATAACAGTAATTCACTTTTTGCAACACACTAAGAACCTTTCAAATGACTGCAAAATCAAAATGGCATGCCATTCATTTCCTGTAGTGAAGATTAAGTTCCCATAGAACTGGTTAATCAAGTTTCTCCTATTTTACTGCTGTTAGCCATAATTTTCCCTTACCAACACCCTAGAGTAACTAAGACTAGCCTTACTTGGCATCGATGTTGTTGCTGATAAACAATGCTGAGATTTTTAAGGTTTTCACAATAGAGGTCCTTCACATCTTTGGTTAATTCTTAGTGTTTTGTTGTTGCTGTTGTTCTTGTTGTTGTGTGTGTGTGTTGTATGAGGTTTTGGCTATTACAAATGGAATTGTTTTCCTAATTTCAGTCTTTCTCTTCTTATTTTTTAGCATACAAAGAAGATATTGATTTTATTTATTTATTTAGTTGGTCATAGGCCTTGAACTCTGGGCCTGGGCTCTGTCCCTGAGCTCTTCAGCTCAGGGCTAGTGATCTACCACTTGACCCACAGCACCACTTCCGGTTTTCTGGTGGTTAACTGGAGATAAGTGTCTCATGGACTTTCCTGCTCAGGCTGGCTTAGAACCACAATTCTCAGATCTCTGTCTCCTGAGTAGCTAGGATTATAGGCATTAGCCACTGGTGCCCAGTGGCTAATTGATTTTTGTGGGTTGATTTTATTTTTTTTCTGGTCGATTGTGAGGCTTGAACTCTAGGCTTAGGTGCTGTCCCTGTGCTCTTCAATTCAAGGCAAGCGCGCTCTACTGCTTGAGCCACAATGCCATTTCTGGTTTTCTAGTGGTTTATTGGAGATAAGAGTCTCATGGCCTCTTCTACCCCTGCTGGCTTTGAACTGTGATCCTCATATCTCAATCTCCTGCATAGCTAGGATTACAGGTGTGAGTCACCGGTGCCCTGTTTGTGGGTTGATTTTACACACTGCTGCTTTACCAAAGCTTAGGATCAACTCAAGGAATTGAGAGAGGAATTTTTAGGATTCTTTAAATACAGGATCATGTCTTCTCCAAAAGATAGTTTTACTTCTTTCCATATTTGGATCCTTTTTATGTTTTTTTTTTTTTTCTTGGCTTACTTTTCTTCTAGGAATTCCAGTACTATATTGAAGAGGAGTGGAGAGAGTGGACATCCTTATCTTGTTCCTGATTTTAGAGAAAATAATTTTAAATTTTCACAATTAAGTACAATGCTGGCTGTAGGTTTATCATATCTAGCCTTTATTATCTTGAGGAATGTTCCATGATAGCTAGCTTCTTCAGAGCTTTTATCACATGGAGGTTGTGGATCTTGTCAATTGTGTGTGGGGTTTTGTTGTTATTGTTGTGTGTGTGTGTTTTTTTGCTTTTTTGATGTTTTTTGTTTTGTTTTTCTGCATCTATTGAGCTGATCTTCTGGTTTTTGTCCTGGTTTTTGTTGATGTGTTGAGTCACATATATTGTCTTACCTATATTGAGCCAGCTTTGCATCCCTGGGATGATTTTCATTTGATCGTAGTGTATAATTTTTTTGGTTAGTTGTTAAACTAGGTTGGCCAGAATTTTATCAAGCAGTTTTGCACAGATATTCATCAAAGAGATGGGTCTATAGTTTTCTTTCTTTCATGGGTCCCTTTCAGATTTTGGAATGAGTGTTCTGTTGGATTTAAATAATGAGTTTGGTATTGATCTTTCCCTCTCTATTTCAGTGAAGAGTTTTGGAATGGAAGACACTCTATGACATGGAAGACACTCTAAGAAAGGAAATGTCTTCATTACCTGACTCGTGTAATTCCTCTGTATAATACCTTTATATTAACAATAAAATAAATAAAAATCTACTTTCAAAATTAGAAAATAAAAGAGTTTTGAAAAGATTTGGAGAAAAAAAATATATTAAGAAAATAAGCCAGACCCTAAGAAACATAGACTGCATGGTTTCCCACATTTGTGGCAACTAGAATGTGCCTATAAATCTACAAGTAAACACACTGGATGATAAAAGAAAACAACAACAACACTGGGACAAGATAAATTATAAATGTCTCTAGGCATTCACGCAGAGTGAAACCAAAAGAGGATATTCTTAGGAGAGGGTCACATAGGCATAATACCATACAAAATAATACTTATTGAAATGAGCCTCAAAGTGGAAACAAGAAGGCTTTTCCTTTTGTCTTACATGTTTTGTCCTATATGTCTTTGGAGGTTAACGATAGGGCACAGAAATGGTGGGAAAGAGGGTAAACAAGTGCAACAGTGATACTCACCAAACCCTACAGTGAAAATGAACTAAACACCTTGTGGGTACGGACAGAAGGGAAAAACTAGGAGAGAGTGAGGGTAAATTTTTTAAAAAAGAAATGTATTCTTTACTTAACTTATATAACCATGATCCCTCTGCACAGGACCTTTCCAATCACAATAAATGTTTTAAAATCACTGAGAAACAACATTTAAGAAATCACTTACACATGTATTTAATTAATTTCTTTTCACTATTTCTTCTAGCTATTTTATTACTGATCATGAGGCAACCTTAAAATTAAATGCCTTGCCTTAAAACAAGTGGTTAATTATGAATGATTTGTGAGAAATATCTCTATTTAGAACTACAGGATTTGCATAGATTGTTTTAAAATAAAAGATAGATAATTATAAGTTCGTTGGATGATAGCCAAAATTAGTTGTATGTAGCTAAGAGGAGGAAGTAAGATGAAGCAGTAGCAAATTTTAAGGGCACCTGAGTGACTACATAAAAATTAATTCCTTTGCCAGGAACAGGGGCTTGTGCCTATGCAAAGATCATGAATTAATTGCTTGAGGCCAGCCCAAGCAAAATTTTTGTGAGACTGCTTGTCAACTAATAAGAATGCTTGGGATAATAATGTGTGTTTGTCCTCTCAGTTAGACATAAAAGAGGATAAAAGTCCAGCCCAGCCAGGACAAAAAATTATTTTATTAAAAAAAATTGCAAAAGCAAAATGGGGCACCAGTGACTTACCAGCACCTGTAAACGTCACTATACAGGAGGCTGATATTGCAGGATCTTGATTCAAGCCAACCATAGAAAAGTCTATGATGTTCAGTCTCTAGCCAGCAAAAGGTCAGACTAGAATTGTGCCTCAAGTACTAGAACACCATTCTGGAACAGACAAATTGAATGACAGTGTGCCTTTGAGTTCAAGTCCTGTAACTGACTATTCCCCTTGAGGAATTAACAAAAAGGGAGAGGGGGGTCTTTAAAATATAAATGAAAGCTGAGCAAGTGCCAAAAAACCTTGCATTTAATCGTCACATTAAAAAAAAAGGTTAAAAATTGTACTGGAAGTATGTTAGAGCACCTGCCTAGCACTTTTAGGCTTCTGAGTTTAGGCCCTTGTACCAACAAAAAATAAAATGAAAACAAACTCCCAAAGTAAGTTAGATGTATAAAAAAGAAAATCTATAATTCTCATTTAATTTTCTTTAAGGAATCACTAATTGGAGTGGTATTGATTTTTCATGTATTTTCTGTTGGCATGTTTTATCTTTTCTTTTATTGCTCTGTCATTCTCTAATCTAGTTAACTAATGATCTCATCTTTGTCTTTTCTGCTTTTTTCCACAAGCAGTTTCCATTTTTATTAAATCATCAGAAACTAATTATGAAAGGAAAATACATTTAAATCAGTAATATAACTCCTAGAATATTACTTTAACAGAATTTGCTAGTAACATTCAGCACAAAACAAGTCATATTTGATTCCAAATGCGTATTTTTTATTGAATATCATCTCTAGGTTAAGAATTAATGAATACTACAAATAAAGTTTACCAAGAGATTTCCAAGAGAACAAAAATACAGATGGAATTTGATTAAAGAGATCCATCCTTTTCCTGTCTCTTTTAAGAAGGTACACATTTTAAGCACAGATAATGGGAGTAGGTGTTGACTCGACCTAAAATAAGCAGACTCAATTTTCTCCTTTAGAAACTAAAAATGAGCAAGATCATTAATTTTCATTTTTGAGCGGCTATTCTGTCATAGGTCATGTGTAAACATATTAAGGAAGAAAAGTAAAGAAAGGAGGAAAAGAAGAAAGAAAACAAAAAAATAGAAGAGCACACATATTCAGAAACAAGGAAAAATAATGCATTGCTTTCTTATTGTCTTAATCAGGCTGCCATGGCTGGATTGCTTATAAACAATGGAAACTTATTTCTCACTTGTATTTCTCACCCTAATCTCAGATTAGGGTAATTACTTTGCAATGTTTCAGTGAAGGCTACACTACAAACTTCTCACTGGGTCTTTGTGTGTGTGTGGGGGGGGGGGGGGGAGTCGGTTGTGGGACTTGAACTCTGGGCCTGGGTGCTGTCCCTGCGCTCTTCAGCTCAAGGTGAGCATTCTACCTCTTGAGTCACAGGGCCACTTTTGGTTTTCTAGTGGATTATTTAAGATCAGAGTCTCACAGACTTTTCTGCTCTGGCTGGCTTTGAACCGTGATCCTCAGATCTCAGTCTCCTGAGTAGCTAGGATTACAGGCGTCAGCCACCAGTGCCCGGCATCACTGTGTCTTCATAGAGCAATAGAATCAAAGATTTTTCACATGGTTTTCTTTTATAAAAACGCAAAGTTTATTAATGATAACCCTACTTCTGTGACCAAATCCTCACCAACCAGTAGCATTATGTTTCAGGTAAGGATTTTCAAATATAAATTTGGGTAGCACATACATTGACATCATAAAATACTTTCTTATTTGATCATCTATTTTCCCCAGTAAATAAGTCCTATGAAATGCCCTATCACATTCATCTTAGCAGCCAAGGGTTGAGTTATACCAATATAGTAATTTTCTTTAAGGGATTCCAGTTAGAATTTTTATCTCTTTTCCCACCTATTCATTATAAAAGGTTTTTTTTGTTTAAAAAACAAAACAAAACCATGGAGGAAAGCTTAAGCTTTCCCAGGTCTTAGAAATAAGAAGTTTGAGATAATATTTCCTTAGTTTGACTTCATACCTGACTTTCAATTATATTAAGCACCTTTTCAACTAAGATATTTTTTGAATGAGGTCTTCACTTTTAAATCAGACAAGGCTCTTCACTGAAGAACTTGAAAAGTAACCTGGATTATAGCCTCTGATTTTGATCAGATGTGAAATTCACAAGGCACCTGAGGAATCCAAATCAATGATTATGATATATCAGTAGTGGATACAACAATGATGGCACGTGCCTAATAGTCATACACAGGCAATACTCTTGACAATGAAGAGGAGACACCATTGGCTGAATGTGAAATGTCATTGTCAAGAGCTGGCATTATGAAAAGGTGACCAAAATTGAATCTGAATGGGTAGCTTTAGATTATTAGCTAAGAGACAAGCAAAGAATGTAAAATAGCACAGTGATGTGAAAGAACTGAAAATTATTTAAAGAAAATTCTTAGAGATTTGCTGTTGATTTTATATTACGAATGTGTGGCTACTTGGAAAGTAAGTTGGAAAGGATATTGTATAGCTTAAATAAGGAAGACCCTAAAAAAACTGAATTATTGAAATCCTGGGTAATACTATTTAGATAATGTATTTCCATTTCTGTAAATAGTATTGATCATCATGGGTCATAGTACTGTAGTATTAAGAAAGAAGTTTAAAATAATACAGTATAAAAGGTAAATTATAAAGGTATAGGGAAAGAAAATTAGTAACAATAAACACTGGCAATAAATATGCGAATGCTGACATACTTGGAAATGGGATGGGGTAAGCCTACTGACTCAAACTGCTAGGACCCAGAATCATACTAGAAAGACAAAGACAGAGCTTATTATTGATGCAGAGGTTAAAGAAGGTTAAGACTAATGAAGAGGCAGTGCTACAACTGATCAAGGTAAAGACCGGAAACTGTCAAATAAACTTAGCAATTAATTGATGAAATTAACAAGTGGCTTTTTAAGCTTTCCATGGCTGGATGGAAACTTCTGAGTGAGGATAAGATTGTAAGTTGATTGCTTGTTCATTGTGGATTTACTATCCAATGAAATGACAAATAAGTAATAAAATATTTGACTCTTAAAAAAATTTGAGTTGTTCTCATAAGAATAATATTGTACTTAGAAATAGAAAATAAGAATGAAATAGGTAGAAAGAAAATCATATCTTAAAGAGGAGGAAAAAAACAAGATTTCAGGCAGAAAAGATGTTGGCCTATTTTGAGACATGTAAAGGAATCCTCATGTTGTAGAGATGATGGTGGAAGAGAAAAGATGGCCAATTCATATTTAAAATTGGAGAGACAAAATCACGACAGTTCAATAAAAATTAAGATATTTATACTAATTATACATCTGTTAAAACAATGATTCTGGAATAAATTATGGAAATGGAAGTATCCTCTTAAACATACCGTACCGACTATAAAATATTAATTGCTTGCCTTTTTTCCCCTGATTTAGTATCATGTTTTTCATTTTTCCTTTGAGAAATGTTTTTTCCAGGCATGTGATTCTTGACACCTGCAGAAGTAGCTCAAGGTCAACTGATTGAAATGTTTCCTTGATGTTTTTCAAAGTCTGCAAGACCATTAAACATAGCCCATCTTCATTGCAAAGCAGGGACCAAATTTTACTCATTCATATGGTGGTCATGCTTAGCATAATTTGCAAATAAAAGTCAAACACTTGTGAACCATAATTATAAACTTCGGAAGATGAAATATGTTGGGGATCATATCATGTAAGCAGCATAATTTGCCCTGGGGTTTACTGTAAAAATGACAAAGGCTAAAGGAACCCAGAGTCAGCTTTGAGATCCAAAGTCAAACCACAGAACAGACAGATGAGCAGACAACCAGTCAAAAGCTCTTCTCTCCTTCATCTGAGGACCAGAAATTTTCCCTATAGGTTCAAGCATCTCAGGAGGAGGAGTAACAAACAGAAAAAAATACCTTGGGGGACAGGGACCTTACATAGAGTAAAAGCTTGACTGTGAATAACTATGTTTTCACTGGCAAGTTTATGAATTTCCAGTAATTAAAATGTAGGAGGTTGGTAACAAAGATTACA